CCCCCCCAACCTGGAGGGGTCCCCCCTACCCGCAGGGGGAACCACACGTGACAATACACTTTTGTACAAATATTTAATTATGAAAAGAAAAGTTGTTATAAAAACTTTTTTGTTATATAATTTGTATATTTATATGCGCCGGCATGTGCATATATATATATGTGGCAACTACGCCACGCCAGCCCACAGCTGATTTTGCTAACAACACCCATCTGCCATCTCTCTCCAACGACCGGCACTCACCAGCCATTACGCGGCGTGACGACTTAATGAGGCGGCCCTTACGACGCCGTAGAAAACAGACATTCCAGCCACGCACAGACGACTCTTTCTCTTTTRCTTCAACCACTCGAGGGAACGGACCACAGGTTTAGCGCTCCGCCGTACTTTTATCCAACTTTATCGTCAAACATTAAAAACGAAAATAACTATTTTTTGAATACGACGCTTTAATAAATATAGTGAATTTTGTAATAAATGGACAATCTTATGATGACTTAGAACACGATTACTCCATATATATGCATGTATGTATGGATATATGTTCGTATGAAAAACCACGATAAGAGAATTATCCGACCGCAGGTAATGTTCTCAAGTTCACGCGTTTTTATGTATATACATATGTATGTATGTATATACATACATTTTTATAATTGCGCCGCATATACATGTATATATTCGCAGTGATAAGAAGCCGCGAAAAGATAATTTAATAATCTTTTAATTTTAGATATATATATATATGTATATGCATATGTATATTTGAAATATATATTAGGTTGTCAAAAAAGTACTGCGTTTTTTCGCTAGTTCGCGCTGAGAGCGCGTAGTTCTACTTTTATTCGTCGCATCGGGTCATGCTATACCTTTTTGGAAAGCTTATTTCACGCGCTAACACGTGTTTGATTGATTGTCGTTTATTTTAAGTCGTTCGTGAGTTAAAGCGTCGCAAACATGGAGCAAAAGAAAGAGCAAATACGGCATATTTTACTTTATTACTACCATAAAGGCAAAAATGCATCTCAAGCTGCCAATAAAATTTGTGCAGTTTATGGACCCGATGCAGTTTCCATTTCCACCGCACAACAATGGTTTCAATGTTTTCGTTCTGGTGTAGAGGTGGTCGAAGATGCGCCACGCTCCGGAAGGCCTGTCGTCGAAAATTGCGATAAAATCGCTGAATTGGTCGAAAGGACCGGCATAGTAGCAGCCGTAGCATCGGTCAAGAGCTGRKCATGAGTCATCAAAAAAAATTTTATGAGCAATTGAAAATTCAATAAATATACCGCAARACATTTTTGATAACCTAATATATTGATGTGGGTATGGTTAAACTAGAAAAAGAGCAAGTTATGCTCTTTGGAAGTTATAAAAATATATGTGCATATATGTATATATGTATATATGTATTTTATTTCCAATTTCATTTGCGCATATATTTTTGCTTATGATTGCCGTAGTTTATTTTAAGCAATCCTGCTTATACTTGATTAAGTAAAAGGGATATTGCTGGAAAAATCTGCAAGTAAATACTTGAATACTTTATTGGTTTTTGGGGATAGTTTCTGTATTATAACACAACGGTAAGCATTTACCGGCAATCAATAAACCGCTATATACAGTACCAAACTGGTTTGTTTGCGTTTTCTCGGTTATTACCGGAAAATAAGACGGATACCGAAAACAGTTTGGTAACGGTTTTCTGTTCTTTTTTGACCGGATTTTGGTCACAACCGCAATTAAATTTTTTTTTTTTTTTGAATTCCAAACATACATAAATGTATAAAAATATATAAATATTGATTGGAACGATACCACTCACTTTGATTACCGCCAGGGGCTTTTGGGGATAATACTTGTAAGTGTGTATGGAACTTGGATTCCAAATTTTAATGTATATCTGAGCGAGTGTTTTCGCTTGTCGCTAATATTATTACAGAAAAGCGCAATAGAATAGCACCAAATACAGTAGACAGCAGTATTTTCCTAAATTTACTTTACAACAAAAAATTATAAATTTTTCTAACAAAACATATTTGCTTTTGTATGTACCTTTGAATGAGTATTTTAGACCTTTTTTTTCAAGTGCATTACTTTTAATGTAAAGATTTATGAATTTTGTTGAACAGGGATGATCTCATTTTGCTATTTTCAAATAAATACTATTAAAAAAATACAATCGAACTGTTGGTTTCTTAGTAGTAACTTTTAAAGTCAAACGAAAAATCTTCATTGTTGCGTATAAAACCGTATGAAAACATTATAAATAAGTAGTGAAATAACATAACACATAGAAATTAAAAAAAGAAAAATAAATAAAAAAAAACAAAGACAATAAGGCTAAACTGAAAATACTCAAGTCACTTAGGTCATTCAAAAATACTATTGGTGTTTCTTGGTGCTCCTGTCATCAGACAAACAGTCGTCGCACTCGCGACTTGGTACTCACGTCACTGTTGACAGTCATAGCTTTGAAGTTGTAGATAATTTCGTCTATCTTGGAACCAGCGTAAACACCACCAACAATGTCAGCCTAGAAATCCAACGCAGGATAACTCTTGMSAACAGGTGCTACTTCGGACTGAGTAGGCAATTGAGAAGCAAAGTCCTCTCTCGACAAACAAAAACCAAACTCTATAAGTCACTCATAATTCCCGTCCTGCTATATGGTGCAGAGGCTTGAACGATGTCAACAACAGATGAGTCGGCSTTGCGAGTTTTCGAGAGAAAAGTTCTGCGAAAGATTTATAGTCCTTTGCGCGTTGGCCACGGCGAATATCGCATTCGATGGAACGATGAGCTGTACGAGATATACGACGACATTGACATAGTTAGCGAATTAAAAGACAGCGGCTATGCTGGCTAGGTCATGTTGTCTGGATGGACGAAAACACTCCAGCTCCGAAAGTATTCGACGCAGTACCCGCCGGGGGAAGCAGAGGAAGAGGAAGACCTCCACTCCGTTGGAAGGACCAAGTGGGGAAGGACCTGGCTTCACTGGAAATATCTAATTGGCGCCACGTAGCTTAAAGAAGAAACGACTGGCGCGCTGTTGTTAACTCGGCTATAATCGCGTAAGCGGTGTCTACGCCAATCAAGAAGAAGTTTCTTGGTGCTTTGAATCATTTTACTATGACGTGATTAAATTATTGACTCATGAGAAATGAGCACAATATCGGGACGTATGAAAAGAAACTTACTCATTATTCATACTCTCGCTATGTGTACTTTGTGGAAATGTGTTTTTGATTTATATTCACAAAAACTATTTTTTGTGCTATTCAACCAATAACTTAAAAAAGGGATAATTGCAGATCTCTGGTTTGGATACAAGTGTAAGCATAAGTAGGTATTTTATCAGATATGTATGTGCCAATATATATATAATAATATATTATACTATATACTGTTCATACATATATTTGGATGTACATATGTAGTGTATCAAACTGTTTTCGCTTTCCCGGAAATCAACCGTACAATAGATGGAGTCGATACACTCACTTTGTGCGGCGTCAAGGCTCTTTGAGGGCTTTATATAGGGTTAAGTTAGAACTTATGTATGGTAGCTTATGCCACTGCGTCCAATTTGGTTCCTCTCCGTTTCCTTTCCTTTTTKTTGCTTGTTCTGTGGTTGTAAATTTCCCTTCGTTGGTTGACTTTCCTTCGTTGGGTTGGCTTTGCTATTTATTTACAAGTTTAACATCTGCAATTTTATGATTAATTTTTAACTTTTGTGAAACTTCCGACCATTGTTTTTTCATTTTTAGTTCCGCGAAATAGAATAGGCACAATATTCTATTTCGTGGAACTAAAAATGTTGTTACTCTATGGCATTCTTTTCGAATGGACACGTGTGCCTGTTTACCGTCCTGTTTTGTCGGACTTACTAACTTTATAGTTGTCAATTGCGAAGGAAAGTTCTCTCTGCATCATGTCAAAACGAAAAATCAAAGTACTGTCATTAAGTGATAGCTTAAAATAGTGAATGCGTTTGAATCTGAAAAATCGCGGAATGAAATTCAGAGTGAGTTTGATTTACCAGAATCCACATATTATAAAATCAAAAGACTATAAAGTCTGAGTACTCTGATGGACATGGAAATATTAAGAGGAGTTGAGTTTCCGAATTTTCCAATATCGAGAAGTGCCTTTTGGAATGGATAAAACAAACTCTCGATAAAATCATTCCCATAGATGGACCTTTGTTAAAAGAAAAATCAAAAGAGTTTGCTACAAAACTGGGAATCCAGAACTTTCCCGCTAGCAACGGCTGGTTAGATGGGTTTAAAAGGCGTCATGATATAGCTTTCAAAAAAGCAGCTGGGGAATGTGAATCTGTGGACCAAGTTGTATGCTACCACTGGACTGAAAATCTGCCAAATCTTTTAGAATTGTACGAACTAGACGATCTTTATAACGGGGATGAAACTGCTTTGTTTTTCAAGTGCCTTCCGGACAAAACATTTACGTTTAAAGCCGAAAAATCCATGGAGGAAAACAAAGTAAGGAACGCCTTACACTTCTCCAGTGTGTAAACATGAGTGATACAGACAAACTTCTACTTCTCATCATCGGAGCGACCTAGATGTTTTAAAGGTGTCAATACTCTTCCCGTTGATTATGCCAATAATACAAAGGCTTGGATGACCAAGATATTATTTAAAGATTGGCTGAAAAAAGTTGACAGACAAATGAAAATAGAGCGAAAAAAAATTCTGTTATTCATTGACAACTGTACTGCCCATACGGATTTACCAACACTTGCAAACGTAAAAGTAATGTTTTTACCTGCTAACACCACTAGTAAACTTCAACCATTAGATCAAGGCATCATTCACACTTTTAAACGCTTTCATGGAAGTGAGGTCGTTATATATGTTCTTAAGAGTCTGGAAGAAAACAGTAGCCCTGACAATAACGTACTTCTAGCTATGAAATTCGCTAGAAAAGCATGGTACTTAGTAAGTGACGTMACTGTTAAAAACTGCTTCAAGAAAGCTGGGTTTTGGAAAAGTMCAGATAAACAAGACCTGCCAGAGGAAAATGATATTGAAGTTGGATCTAACAAAGAGGAATGGTCTAAGCTTGTGTCTCACGAATCCAATATGTTAATGCCGAGCTTCGAAGATTTCGTTCAAATTGACGACGACGTAACTCCCGCTGGAGAACAAACCGACGACGATATCGTTAATAATTGTGTGGACACCTATTTTGCTGGAAATGACAATGAAGACGAGGCACAGATTTTAGAATCAGAAATAAAGATCATTCCAATGAAGATAGCTTTAAGTGCGTTGGAGACGGTCCATCAGTACTTTGAATACACGGCGGCTGTTGATCAAGGAATATTCGACAATATTTATGAGTTAGAGAAAACTATTCAAACCACACCAACCACAACCAACCCAAACGAAACTGACGGATTTTTTTTTAATGTAAATGAGTTCTAAATAAAATAAAATTACATAGGCATGAATATTTCTTTTGTTTTCGCAAGCATTTAAAAATATGTATGTACATAAATAATATGGACATATGTTGTGGATATCACTTAAGTAAGTATACACCATCTTCATTTTTGAAGATAGTTCAAATTAAAGTGTTTCCCAATATACTAATGACACGTTTTTACACAAGCATGTGTGCATTGGCACTCGCTTTAATATCAGCACAAATATAGCTGTAAAATGTTAATACCGTTAGACACACATCGCTTATTGATTGAGGCGAGCGTACAATTGTTTGGTGAACATAACGCGATAGCATAATTTTTAATTTAAAAATATCAATCAATTTAAACAAAACTTACACTGTTAGGAATATTATTAAAGAATTCTACATTTTTCTTTAAATTACTGAACAATTTGCGGCAATGGCACGAAGAGGAAAAGAGCTCTCTGATGACTTAAATAAATTAATTATAAAATACCACAATAAAAGTGTTGCTACAATTCAAAATATTGTAAATAACTTCAAAACTACTGGCAAAACAAATAATAAGCCTCGCTCCGGACGCCCCCGGGTATTCAGTGACAGAAAAAGTAGCCTGATTGTTCGTAAAATAAAAGAAAATCCCAAAAAAAGTGCCCCAAAGTTAAAAGCTGAAGTCTAAAAAGATGTTGGGAAGCAGTGTAGTACTCAAACTATTCGCCGAGTCCTGTATAATGCTGGTTACCATGGACGTAATGTTAGGAAGAAGCCCTTCGTGAGCAGAGTCAATATATGTAAACGGATATCATTTGCAAAAAATCATGAAAAGTGTGACCAAACATGTTCGAACAACGTTACATTTTCAGATGAGTGCAAATTTTGTATAACTGGATCCGATGGTCGCGAAAAAGTATTGAGGAAAACTAACACAGAGCTGAATCCTATTAATATGGCACGGTTAAGCATGGTGGTGGCTCGGTGATGGTTTGGGGATGTATGGCAGCAAATGAGGTAGGCAAAGCGCTGTTAAATTGGGACTGGAGGAGTCATTCATCTTCCAGCAGGATAATGATCCCAAGAACACGTCCAAAGTTGTGCGAGAATGGCTCTTATACAATGGGTGCAAAAACAGCTTAAAACACCACCCCAATCACCGGATACAAACCCCATTGAACATTTGTGGGAACATCTAAAGCGGCAAACACGTAAATATTCGATACGAAGCAAGGAATGGAATAAAATACCACAAGCAATAACCGCAAATTTGATGAAATCAATGCCTTCACGTCCTAAATCTATTATTAAGGCCAATGGTTATCCAACCAAATACTAGAAGTCGACTTTTCAAATAATATTTTTATAATTAATTCAATATTTGTGCTTTTGTATACTTACTTTTGTGATATGAATTTGTACCAAATCTTTTTTAAATGGTAAAATTTTTTTATTTTGTGCCATTTTGTATGAGTTTTTGAATTGAGTATTATATTTATGTTTCTCTCAAGTGAATAAAAAATATTTTTCTTATATTTTGTATTATTTAAGAAACCTAGTGCAAAAATAATGTAGATATATGTAGTGTATACTTACTTAAGTGACTAACTGTATGCATATTTATTACATTCATACTTTCTGTGACTTGTTATTGCTGCGTACCTCTATAAGGGAGAAACACTACACATGTACGTGCATTAGCGAGAAACTCGCGTTAGTGAGAAACCTCTTTCAAGCGAGAATAAGATGGTGCTCCCTTGAACTCTCGCTTATACAGGTTTGACTGTATGTATATGTATATGTCACCGCACCTCTTTTTTTATATACATATATATTTTTCTCGAAAAAAAATGTTTTTTGGTATATGTATGTATATGTCAGCGCACCTTTTATTTTATTATATATTTTGATTATTGGTATATGTCACTTTAAGATTATTTTGCCGCTTGAATCCTTTTTTCCCCAAACAACGCCTTTCTTTGCGGCTCGAAGGATAAATGTATGAGTAGATATTAAGTGCCTTTAATAGTGCCTTTCTTTGCGCGGCTTTAAAGACCAATGTATGAATAGGTGCCCTCTTCGCTTTTACCCTTGTGACACTTCCACTTCTTTAAATAAAACACCCGGGTAATTCAATGTGGATTTAATGAGATCCTTTAATGCCGGTTTTCAATCATTACAAATATGGAAAATGACGGTATTTACAATTAATTTTGATTCGATTTTCAATTTAAAAAAAACATCCGGAACTATACTGATCCAAAAGGCGAATATCACAGCGACGATGTGCTTCGAGGGCAGACCAAAAAGAAACTGAAAAAATTGCAACGATGACCATTTTTGTTGTTGCAGATTCAATATTACCTTGTTGTTCCTCGAATTGAGGCCTCTGACCTCTCCTCTGTAAACCCATGGTTCCTGGATTAAGACTATGCCCAGGTTATTTGAGTTGAAAATTCTCGCCATGATAGCCGACGTTGTCGTCGTGTGGTGCAGGTTCACCTGGCCAACTGGCCGGCGCTGGAGTTCATAAAATTGGCTCGATGAGAGACAGGTCCTGTTCTCCACTATCCTCACCAATCTGCTTGTGTCTCAGATGGTGTTATTGGGAGACTCGTGCCGCTCTCCTGCAACCACAGCGGCAGTCGCACCCTGCTCAGCTSATTTGGCGCCTGAGTGAGTCGGTTAATGGTTAATGGCTTACCGTAGGTGTTGCTTTGGGCCTCTATGGTCGCATCACAACCTTGCTGAATCGGAAGTTCAAATCGAGGTTTGCAGATTTATTGGTTTATTTGCATTTGTTTTTATTTGTGTTTTGGTAGTATTGTCGGATTGTTTAGTATTGCATTTTCGCATAGTTCTCTGGAAATAGGGCTGTGAAATCGGATCTTGCGAGAGGCTGTGAGTTGAGAACGGCTTCAATTCTAGTTAACAATGTCGTGAGTTCTTCATAATTAAATTTGTAGCTGCCAGCTAACTTCTTGAAATGAGATTTGAAGCTCTTTACAGCTGATTCCCATAAACCACCTATATGAGGAGCGCTTGCGGGTATAGAATGGCCAATTGATACCTTTGAGGACGTACTTTTCTACGATGTCAGGTGACACTTGTTTAAAGAAATCCACAAACTGTTTTTCTGTGGTTCGTTGAGCTCCAATGAATGTTTTGACATTATCGATCATGATTTTTGATGGGATGAGTAACGAAGCGAGTAAATGCCTTGAGAAAAGCCTCCATCTTCAGACTTGTACATAGCTCAAGGTATACTATAATTATCGTGAAACATAGCCACAAAGCCTTTCATGAGAGTGGGAGATCTTATCATGGACGCCTTTATCAGATGATCTGAGATGCACTTTTTGATTTGGGGCTTAAGACGGCGAATATAATATTTTTGGCGTAACATATGTTATATGAGGCGATGTTCGGCGAGATAAAAAAAATAATAATATGGCAAAGGGGGATTTCTCTGGTATTATTATGGGATGGCATTCACTATAAGTTAGTTTTTAGGATTTAGTACTAAGACTGAATTATTTTTGTCAGTAGGTTTGGATTGTCTTAGTAATTATATGTCATGGTTGAAATAAAGCGTTTGAGTAGATGCCATAAGAGCAAACTTTGCCTTTTGTAGTTCTAGGTGCGTCAATGTATCGCTTTGTAGATAAATTACTTTGAGGGCTCGAGGGAACCATGAAAATCGTTAAACGTACAGAAAAAAAATTTACCGACTCGAAAAACACGCGAAGTATAAATTAAATGATCCAAATTTTCCAACAAGGCTAGAGCTATTACGGAATCAGACCAGAGATATAATTTATATTTTGCCATGTTTAGATGCGTTTTCACCATGGATACTATGTAGTTTGGCTAGTAGTAGCACATCACATAGTTCTAGTCGTGGAAACATTTTGTTGTTAGCGGAGCCACATTTGCCATGGGTATAGTAGATGATTGGTAATCGATGTATTGATCAGTAAAAATTGAGATAACGTAATGAAATTTCGTACACGTATTCTTCGACAAAAAAGTGAGTTCGTAAATGGGGGTTATCGGACTATTGCCGTTTTCACTTAAAGTTGCACATTCTTGTAGAAGATTGTATCCTATCTATTCAGCTCTGCAGTTCGAATTATTTTCTCCAGCAGTAGATTGAAGAAGTCACATAATAGGGAGTCGTCTTGTCTGAAAGCTCGTTTGATATCGATGAATCTGAGAGGKCCTTACCGATTCTGACTTAGCTATTGGTATTGCTCTACGTAAGTTTACACAGTCGTATTAGGTTTGCGGCGAAACCCAAATACAGACATAGCGGCATAGAAGCAGTTTCATTCCGAACTGTCGAGGCTTTAAAATGAAATTCCGGTCGATATAAGCGTTCCCCTTTTTGTGAATGTGCACAGCATTTTTAGATTCAAATCGTTGGTCATGCTTCATCCAACCATATTCTATACAGAAACTGATCCATGCTCCTTATCAGTTCTTCGCCGCCGTGATTCAATAGCTCGGCCGGCAATCCATCGGCCCTCATCGCTTTGTTGTTCTTCAGACGGGTAATTGCCATTCAAATTTCTTCATAGTCGGTCAATGGAACGTCAGCTCCGTCGTTATCGATTGCGGAATCGGGTTCGCCTTCTCCTGGCGTTATGCTTTCACTACCCTTCAGCAGGGTGGAGAAGTGTTCCCTCCATAATTTAGTACGCTCTAGGCAGCGGTTACTAGATCACTTCTGGGGTTTAACAAGACTGTGCTCCAGTCTTTAAACCTTATGTTAGTCGCCGCATCTTTTCGTAGAATTTTCGAGCATTACCCTTGTCGACCAGCTTGTCAAGCTCTTCATACTCACGCATTTTGGTCTCGCTATTTTTTTTCTGCAATCTCGCCTCTCTCTTTAACTCTTTATCTATCCCATCCCGTAGTCTGTTTTCTCTCCACTGCGACACGGCACTCCTCATCGTACCAGCATTTCTTTTGCTATTTCCGAAAACCAACCGCTTCGTATGCGTACGTAAGGAGCTTGACATGCCGTCCCAAAGTTCTCTTATACTGAGTTGCTGATGAGTGCTTTCAGAGAGCAGAAGTGCAAGTAGAGCAGAAAATCGTTCGGCGGTCTGTTGGAATTGCAGCTTCTCGACATCGAAGCTTCCTTGTGTTTGTTGACGTGCGTTTTTTGCTGCACATAGGCGGTTGCGCATCTCCGCTGCAACAAGATAATAGTCCAAGTCAAATGATTGATTAATAGAGTTTTCCAGTCGTAGTAAAACCTGGAAATCCACACAATAAAGGCCAATTTGAAGGAAATATTGCACAAGAAGAATATTATTTCTATGTTCTGAAATTACTGTATCCTTTGCTTTTCAAGGCAGCTCACAGTTTTGTTTTATTACGATCAGTGTTTTGTTACAACAGTCTTAAACTATTTATATTATTTACCCACTCCTTGATAAAATTACTACAGGCTTTGTTCGACAATTATATATATTTTCCCGTAGTTCCTAGTAATAACACTTGTTTTCTTCCGCCGCGCCTGCACTTCGCTTCCACGCACCGACTGGATTCGGTAGCAGGGGTTAATAGCTAACGAACGAGCGGCTGATCAGTTGTCTCCGAGCACTTGGAGAGTTAGGACAAATATTTTCAGACATTTGATATGATCTAGCAGGCTCACACAGATGTTGCTGTGTGTTACCAAGAAGTTTCGAATCACCAGGCTTTTTTAGAGTCGTATTTTTCGGACTTGATGTCAATTCAAGAAGTTTCGAAGTTACCAAGAAGTTTCGAATCACCAGGCTTTTTTAGAGGGCCGGGGAGAGGTCACTGATGAAGACCTGCGACTTCGACAATTTGGCTCGTGTGCGCAACTCAGACCGTCGACCAAAAAATATAGTATGGTGGGTTTTTCGCAAACATCGAAACCATATCAGTTATATGATCCTGATCAACATGTGGTAGTTAAGAAACGTGTCGTAGTGCTTCTACTATTTAAAAAAAAAACAAACGATATAGTAAATTTTTCGGACTTGATGTCAATTCAAAAATCTGAAGCTGTCGGAAACGCATAAGCATCTGAGGTACCAAGCGGCAAAGAAGCAGATGACAGTGATTACGCGTTTGAAGAAGCAGTAGAATAATCGTTAGATTCAGATTCTGATAGTAATTATCAAGAAAGTTTGGGAAAATCTCCGGTTCATGAAGAGAGTCCTGCTAAAATAAGACCCAAGGTACTACGTGGTGTAAAACCAGGTCGAGAGCAATGAAATCAGAATATAAAGCCCTAGTGCGAAATAAAACGTGGAAATTAGTCGACTTAGCAAATAACTAGAAAGCAATTTTGTCCAA